TGCGACAGCGACACCCAGCGGCCAGGCGCAGTCATTACACGCGGCACCAGTGCGATTTGATAAAGCAGTCCAATATGACAAGCTTTAATAGAGAGAAAAGTCCGACTTCATCTGAGTCTGTTTAAATAACTTCAATAAATGTGTGGTATGATATTAAAAAAGTTTGCATCTTCCTTCCACACGATGGACGGTTAGGAAGATTTATCTATCTATCTATCTATCTATCTATCTATCTATCTATCTATCTATCTATCTATCTATCTATCAGTTTTGTATAAATTTATAAAAATGTCAGCGGGTTTAATGCTTACATATTAAAAAAATTATTTACATTTTAAATAATTATTTAAAAAAATGTAAAAAAATATATATTTTTTTAACATTAATTAAAAAACCTTTTATCATTATCACTGAATTGTATCATAATTTGAGCACATTAATTTTTTATTTTGATGTACTAAGCCAGTGTTTCTCAACCTCCTACCTATTCAAACAAATGTAGTCTAATCATCTTCACTAAATATTATAAAGTTGATTAGTATGTGTTTATAACGAGGACTGTTATTATATTTACAGTACCTTTCAAATGTATGGGTCATTGTGATTTTTAAGAAATTACTTTCATTCAAGGATCCATTAAATTGCTAACAAAAAAAAACAAAAAAAAGACAGTGAAGAACTTTTTACAGTAAATTATTTGAAATGAAGTGTAATAACAGTAATTTACCGTTTTTAAGCACGCTGGTGATTTTCAGTGCTACAGCTTTGGTGATGCTGAGATCTGATATAACCTGCTGCCCCAAAGATGAAATACACTCGATAAAAATAGAATAAATCCACGGCATTTTTACAGAAGAGATTTCAGTTTGTTCTTCCTGTAACTCTTGAACACAGTTTTTACTGCGCTGATATGTTTGGATGTTTTCAATTTGCTTTTGGTGAAAAATCATCATATTTATAGCTTGGTTTTAGAAAATACCCTGTTTTTTGAGAATATATTGAATTTCTGACATAGCACACATACATTTACACATGCAAACGGAAGAAATGTAAACCCTCCGTTGCTATATTTCATGATTTTGTGAGAATATTTCAAAGCTTGCTTACAAATACTTCAAAGAAGACTAAGTAGAAAGATGGGAAACATATTATTATTATTTTAGTGCTGTCCTGGTTTATATCTTTGTTATAGTCCATTGCATTTCAAATCTTGCTTTTTTTGTCAGTGTTGTGTGCCAGCTATAATAATAATAATAATAATAATAATAGTAATTAATGCATGAAATATTTAGCACCTCATACAAAACATAACCACAAAAACACAGTTGGTTTTATTGATCAAACATCTCAGTATAGACAAAACTCATATAACTTTGTACAGCCGTTTATAATAATTTATCACTCTCAGTGCTATAGTTATCAATATAAAGATTACAAATCATCCTGAATAAAGAAACAGTGAACCAAAGTGTTTCAGAAGCAATCTAATGCTTTCAGATCACAACATAAATCATGGTTTAAACAAAAGCTGATTTATTTATTTATTATACTGTATATATATAATATATATATATTAATACAGTCTGACTGTTTTTATTATGACCACTAGAGAGGAGTGTGACTCTATATTCGATCTGAGATCCTGTAAAAAAAAACGATTTTAACTTCTCAAGTCAGACCACATGAATCACATAAACAGCAATACAGTCAGATCTGTTGCTGTTACAGCAGTGTGTAATTAAACATGTTAGAAAAACAGCAAATGTTCACAGGACAGCCAGATATTATCAGCCAGTCGTTCAAATCCCTGTGAGAAATTCACTTTTTACCAAGAGGAAAGAGCACATTGTTTTCTAAACATATAAAAACACCATATTTATTTATTTGTACTCAAACACCACTCCATCTTGGCTTCCCATTCAAAAACAATCTGAACTACATAATCTGACAGAAACAGACACTAAACTCCCAACCGGATATGCATAGAACACAATAATCAAATATCACTTTTCACTAATAAAACAGGAATTCATTACATGATCATTTTCCTCACACATTTAGGGTATTTTTTTTTTTGCCACAGTCACTCCTGAACCAGCTTGAAATTGTTTTGCACTGATTTTCTGCTGTAGAAACATGAAGAAAAGGATGAAATCCTGGTTAACTGCTCAAGCGAGTGTCGGTGCAACAGCAGCATTCGTGTAGTGAAGACACGAGTTCAACTGGCCAAGTGCACACTACAGAAGGACATTTAAACACTCACAGCTTTGTGTTTTGCGTTGTGTAGGTTCACACACATTTACATTTATGCATTTGGCAGATGCTTTTATCCATTGCATTCAAGGTCTACATTTTGTCTGTTCATGCATTCCCTGGGAACTGAACACGTAACCTTGCTGTTGCAAACCATAATCTACTGTTCAGGCCATTTACATTTATGCATTTGACAGATGCTTTTATCCAAAGTGACCTGCATTGCATTTAAGGTATACACTAGATCAGTTCATGCATTCCCTGGGATTCGAACCTATGACCTTGCTGTTGCAAGCCATTATCTGTTCAAGCCATTTACATTCATGCATTTGACAGAAGCTTTTATCCAAAGTGACCTGCATTGCATTTAAGGTATACACTAGATCAGTTCATGCATTCCCTGGGAATCGAACCCATGACCTTAGCGTTGCAAGTTTGAGCTGTTTGAGCTAAAGGAATGCATACTGTGCTATAATACAGAAACGGCAAGGTCATTTCCTCCCCGACTGAATCCCAGTATTAGTTCTCACAGTTTATTCTTCTCAGAATGCAGGAAGGTTTTGCACTTGTTTTACACTGATTTGCACAGAACGGGAAAAACGAAGCCAAAAACCAGGGATGCGACAGCGTTTAAGGAGACGTGGGCAGCAGGGTTTTTTTTGGCTCTGTCTTCCCACGGCCTCGCCCTCCGCTGGCGCTGCATCACGCTCTCGCCGTTTTATTGGCTCATTTCTGCTCTCAGGGGTTTCAAAGTACAGAGGAATCGTAAGTTACAGTGTGGGAACTGTCTCAGCATTTTACACAAGTATCTAGCCAATGATTTATTTGGAATAACAAAGTTTCCCCATTTAATTGTACTTCAGCACTTACAGTAAAGGTAAAACAGCATTAGAAATGACAACTTCAGGTAGCAGTCTGGAGTTTTTTCTTGCATGTCACACTTTATTTCAATAGTCCACTTCAGACATTTTACTAACTATAAGTAACTTTGCAACTGCATGTCAGCTACCTCTCATCAGAGCATCAGTGGACTGTTAGGTTAGGATTAGTAGAATAACCTGACATGCAAAAATACTTATAATCAGAGCTGGGCAGATTACTTACCAATGGTACTCTGTTACTGATTCCAAATTACATGAGGGAAATTGTAGTTTGTAGTATAATATATTGGATTACACATATTTGGTAATGTATTCCGACTACTTTTTGATTACTTTTAGACTACTTTTGGTGTAACTCGTCAGAAAATATATTCCATTCTTTGATGTCAACATCATGAAGAGTATTAAACACTACATTACTCCAGGGTTTCCCAAATCGGATTTCATGAAAAAAAAAAAAAACGTCATGTTTGCAATTAATTAAATCCTAAAAATTTCAAATTAAAATAATGAACTCATTTTAAAAGGAAAACAATCAAAAACAATTAAAATAAAACGTGAAAAGTACAATTAGAACTTTTTTCATTTTAAGGGAGAAAAAAGAATAATCATTTGGGCGAATGAATAAATTATCAATAATTTACAGCCATTGTGTGAATAATATGTAATCTTGTAATCGGTAAAAACGTAACTGTTTTCTGATTATGAGCATTTTAAAGTGTAATATAATCTAATTTCAGGTACTTAAAAATGACTCTGTTATTGTCTTCTTGCATTATTGACAATATTTAACACTGTGAAGCTGCTTAGACACAATCAGTATTATATAAAGCGCTATAGAAATAAAGGTGATTTGACTTAATTTTTAAAATCTGATTACCTAATCCAGATGACATGTAATCAGTTACTACCTTATATTATGATTATAGTTAGTTAGTTAGTATGTCTGTTGTGTTAGCAGGTACTAAGCAGACAGTCTACTATTACTCTAATGACTGCTAGTTGACATGTAGTTGCAAAGATACTTATAGTTAGTAGAACGTCTAAAGTGGACTATTCAAATAAAGTGTTACCCTAAAAACATAAAGTGCTTCAGTTTTGTAGTGTGCACTTGACTTAAAGTGGAAATACATTTTTAAAACATTCATGAGGGTGAAATCAAACCCAGTAGAAGTTCGTTTCAGCAGTAAAACAAATCAGAGCTTAATGTACAAAATCACACAAAAGTTCCACAACATCCACCATAAACCCCGATGAAACACACGAACCAGATCCGGGAAAGTGAAGAGGTCAGACATTAAACAAACAGTCGCTGGTAGCCATTGATGTCAATAATATTTTTTTTTCATACTATGGAAGTCAATGGCTACCAGCAACTGTTTGGTTCCCAACATTCTTCAAAATATCTTCTTTTGTGTTCAGCAGAAGAAAGAAAGCTTTGAGGGTGTGTAAATGATGACAGAGTGTTAATTTTTGGGTGAACTCTTCCTTTAACATTAAACAAGTCAAAATGAAACCTATTTTAATGAGCCAAATTTGTGAGAAAATAATGTAGGGTTGGACAAATTAAAAAAAACATGAGCCCTTAAATACTGCATGTCCCACCCGACTCTTCATTTCAGTAGGAAATATGTCATTTCCGTAGGTTTTTATGTACAGGGTGCAGCAGACGTGTCTAGTGGATGCTTTTGAGGTCACACAATCCGTGTTTGGCTTTAACTGAGGCTCCCATAAACGTGAAAACTGTACAAACTCAACAGCCCTTCAGAAACGATGCACAAGCTTCCTCCCAACAACTCTAGTGTTCTGCAGGACTCTGTTTCCGGTAAGCAGCCGCTGGCCGTCTCTGCTGGAGCTGCGGTTTGTTGGGTTTGTTCTTCTGATGCCACTGGCACAGCAGGATGGATCTGAAGGTGGTGCGAAAGGTCTTGTTGCAGAGCGCGTAACACATGGGGTTGACAGTGCTGTTGACGTAGCACAGCCAGTATCCCAGAGCCCACAGCGTCTCGGGGATGCACTCGTCGCAGAACGCGTTCACCAGGACCATGATGTTGTACGGCGTCCACGTGATGATGAAGGCCAGGAGGATGGCGCTCAGCGTCTGCGCTGCTTTCTTCTCTTTCACCAGAGAGACCTTCTTGCGCTTGTTGACCTGCGTCTTGGCCTTGCAGGCGAAGCGTTTGCCGTCTTTGGCGTCTTTGAGGGAGGTGTTGGCGTTGGGTTGATCTTTGGAGCTCACGGATACTTTGGAGTGACCGGACAATCCCTTTCTGGAAGGTCTCGCGTCTTCAGTTGGGTGGAGATTCTCAGAGATGGAGTAGACGGCTTGGGCGTCTTCTGCATCCTCTTCCTCCTCACGCTTGTTGACCTGCGTCTTGGCCTTGCAGGTGAAGCGTTTGGCGAGCGCTGCGTCTTTGAGGGAGGTGTTGGCGTTGGGTTGATCTTTGGAGCTCACGGATACTTTGGAGTGACCGGACAATCCCTTTCTGGAAGGTCTCGCGTCTTCAGTTGGGTGGAGATTCTCAGAGATGGAGTAGACGGCTTGGGCGTCTTCTGCATCCTCTTCCTCCTCATCATCCGATTGGTCGACGGACACGGCGGTTTCGTTATTATTCCAGCTGTCGCTGCTATTGCGGTCTGTGTCGCCGCTGCGACCCTTCCAAGCGTTACGACTCAACGGCCAGAACCAAAACCGGCCTGTTCTGGTTCTCCCAGAGCTTCTCTGGCTTGACGGGTGGAGCTCGTAACTGCTGTGACTGCGTGAGCTTCCAGGATTCCCGACGGATTCCTCCCGATTCCCTTGGTTGCCCGAACCCTTGAGTCCAGCCAGCTCTTTGGAGCGGTTCTCCGTCTCCTTGTAGATCTGCCAGTAGAGGACGGTCATGATGGTAACAGGCAGATAGAAAGCAGCGATGGCTGTGCAGAAAGTGGTGATCGGCTCCGAGAGGAACTGGATGTAGCATTCATCTGGAGGAACCGTTCGTTCCCCGACAAAATACTGCCAGAAGAGGATAGCTGGCGCCCAGAGGATGAACGAAATGGACCAGGCAAGTCCAATCATGGTCATGGCTCGCTTAGTGGTGCGTTTGGCTCTGTACGTCAGCGGACGCGTGACGGAGAAGTACCGGTCGAAGCTGATCACCAGCAGGTTCATCACTGAAGCATTGCTGGCTACATAATCAACGGCCAGCCACAGATCGCAGGCCCAGTTCCCAAGCGCCCAGTGGTCCATGATTATATACGTAGTGTAGAGGTTCATCGAAAGCACGCCGATGATGAGGTCTGCGAACGCCAGGCTGAGCAAATAGTAGTTATTCACCGTCTTCAACTGCTTGTTGACTTTAAAGGACACCAGGACCAGGATGTTCCCGGTGATGGTGACTACGGAAAGCGAGCCGCAGAGGAACACGATCATCACGATCTGCCAGATTGTGTGTCCGAGAGTGGCATTGGCGGTCAGAGTGGTGGCTTGCGAATCATTGGCGGTCTGGATGTCATGTGGTACGAACGCTGTGACGGGATTGGCCCGCATCCCCGGGGAGCTGTTGGTCAGGAATAATCCGGGCTCGGAGCTCAGCGTCAGGTTCATGGTGGCATATTCTGTGGACGAAGCTGACAGATGAGAGATATTAGCACGAGAGAACGACACAGAAAACACACTTGATCTTACACACCACTCTCTGATCATATCACATTATTATGCGCTTATAACATATTGCCTCATATTGATTATACAAAACCTGCTGATTTTAACAATATTAGTTTATAGTAAAAAGAAACTAACCACAAAAATGATATTTGACCCTGGAGCACAAAACCAGTCATAAAGGTCAATTTTGAAAGCTGAATAAATAGCTTTCCATTGATGTATGGTTTGTTAGGACAGCACAATATTTGTCTGAGATACAACTATTATTATATTGTATTACTATTAAAAAGAAACTAACTACAAATTATTATATTATATTATATTATATTATATTATACAGCTATAGCTCTGAAATCTGTCAGGTAGTGGCATCGTTTTATTTGTGACACTGCTTACAGCATCTTTAACTACTTTACACTGTGAAACTCCTGAGTTTGAGGCGCTTGCGAGTATCTGAGGACGTCGTGATCCACAGGAAGAGGAAGATTCGCAGTGATTGTCTGATGTTTGCAGGATGTTTGAGTTTGATTGCACAGCGACAAAACTCAACGTCAAACTGTGGACGGATACAAGATCAGCCTGACAAGAGACGAGACGCCGGAGAGGGATGAG